GCGCGCGTGGACCCGGCACCCCCGCGCCCCCCCCGCCGCCTCCCGCCCGCGGGCGCCCCGGCCACTCATCCCGCCGCCCGCCGAGCCGGAGTCGCGGGCCGGCGTGCCCGGCGCGGACGGCCGCACGCGCTCCCTCCCGGCCCCCTCCTAGGAGGGGCGCGCGTGGGCCCGGGGAGGCACCGCCCCTCTCCCAGCCCGCCCACCCGGCCCGAGCGGCGCGGAGCGGCGCCGCGCTGGGATTCCGGGAGGCAAGCGCCGCGCGGAGCCCCCGGCGTGCTCAGTCCTGCCCTCCGAAGTGGAGATGCGCAAGAGGCCGGCCAGGGCGCGCCGCTCGTGAGAAGCCGCGCCAGCCGGCACCATGCGCCTGCGGCCGCTGCCCCTCGTGGTGGTCCCCGGCTTGCTGCAGCTGGTGAGTGCCCGGCCCCGCGCCCCCGCGCGCCGGGGCGGCGTTTGGGCGGGAAAACGGCGCCCGGCCCGCGCGGAAGCCGAGCCCGGGGCTGCTGGCGACGCGGCGCTAGGGCGCGCGGGGTGGACGGAGTTGGGAGTTGCCGTAGAGGTTGGGAAGGGGAAGAACTGGGGAGTGGGGTCTCGGGGGCCTGGAGGAGGTGACGGGCTTGGCGAGGGTTGGGGCTCGAGGGCTGGGGTGCAGTAGGCAGAGGGTGGCGGGGAGAAGGGGCAGGAGAAGCAAGAGGTTTATTGATCAGCGGCCAAGGAGCGGATGGGGGTAAATGGATCACGATAGGATGGGCTGAAAGACATCCCTCCAGCTCGGCGTTGGAGAGGCTTGGCGGTTCTATTTTTCACGCGGTGTTTCGCCCAGATGCCCACAGACTCTTCTTCCAAAGCAAAGTAGCGGGCACCCCCGTTCTCAGAGCCATGCCGTGGCGCCTTGCTGGGGGAAACTTGGTCAAAAGACCGACGGTGGATTTCTCTCCGTGTCCGGCGTGGCGCTGGGGACGGGGATGGGGTTTTCTGCCAGCGGGAAACGCAGGCTATAACTTTCACGCCCAACTCCACGCAGGGGCCCTCTCTCGGGGTCCTTCAGCGGTCTTCTCCGCCGGGTCTGGACAGCTCCGGGCGCTGAGGAATGTGAAGGGTGTTAAAAGGTGGCTCCGGGTTCGCGCTGTCACTCTCCCTGCTCTCCCCTGGCGCCGAGCTCTCCTCTGCCCGGTATATACCTCTATACCTTACGCATTGCTAGCTGATTATGTCGAGGGGAGAGTCAAAGCAAGAGCTTCAAGAGGAAACTTTTAAAGTCAAATTATAGAAAGAGATTGCTTTGGCTCCGTCTGCACTTTCTCCTGGTCCCTTGGCACCTGTTTTGAATACGGCACTTTTAAGAGGGCTTTCTCTCCTGATGCCACCGTTTCTTTGGCCCTCCTGCTTAAGACTGCCCAAGCACTTAGAGGATGACAGTCTCCTCTCCTCTCCTCTTGTCTTCTTTTTCTCTTCTCTTCTCTTTCTCCTCTCTTCTCCTCTCTCTCCCTCAAAATCAAGTAACTTAAGAAAGTTTCTGTGTGGTATGTGTGGCACTCTAGAGTCAGAGGCACTTGGCAAATTTGGGGGATAGAAGGGACTCTTAAAAGGTGAAAGCGAGGCCAGTGAAGTGCCCGTGATCCCTGGTCCTTACAGCAAAGATTTGCCTTACCTGCACAGCCTTCACTCAAATTCTTCAATGGCATCAAAAAGAAAATGCAGTGATACTCCCAAATGTCCTTGAATAAGCCAGTACATACTATCTGTATACAATACTGCATGTTAAGATGAATTTTATATCTAAGGCACTGTGAATCCAAAGTATATGCCACCTCAATCTTTAGTATCACTTGCTTTAAAAAAATTTTTTAGTCTCATTCCAATAAACGATAATCTAACAAAGCATTTATATGACGTATGTAAGGAAAAGCCTGGGAAAATCAGGTACTTAATATGGGATCTTCAGAGTATCTTCATGACTCTTGGTTCATTAATTTTGTGTTCAATGATCATGAACTGTGTATCTGCTCCATATCTCTGTGTTAGGCTCTTTAAGATGAGGAGATACACTTAGCCATGTGTTGGGGAAAAGTTCTATCAGCTACTATATTGGAAGTGTTGTATTTTTATTTTCCCCACACCACTCTAGTCAGCAGGGAATAGGAAATACATCCTGAAGAGATTATCCACCCTCCTTAAGAGCTAGATTCTAATATTACAGCAAGGATTGATTGATTAGTTTTTAAGGAAGCTTATGTCAAATTCTAATCCGTTTTTGGATTGTGCTTGGGTTGTAATGTTTTTTTCCTGGAGCACTTTATCATGGTAAGTGAGGTGGGGAGCTGCAGCCCTGTGATAAGCACACATTCCTTGCACTGCCATCCTTTTGGACAATAAAAGGCTGTTTACATTCTCCACATTCTTAGAGCTGTTGCCAGCCTTATAACACAAGGGGTTAGGATGTGAAAGGAAAACAGAGAGGCTGAGCAGATCTAAATTGAAACATTCCTCAATCCCACCACACACCCCACACCAGCAGGTCTCAAAAAGGACAGATCATAATTTGCGCCTTTGCTTGTCTCATAGTTTTGTTCTTCGTTTTTTAGCTGATATTGAACTTCTTTGTTCAATCCTAACAGCAAGTGAATAAAATATGCTCTGCATGTGAAACAAGTCTTTTAATTTTCTAGGTAGCATATGCACTCAAAAGACCTGCCCTTTGCTGAGATAAAGAAAAAAAAAAATCTTATAAAAATGTGTTGGGAGGAGGAGCGGAATTGCCTTATTGTTAGAAGTGGATTTTGCTTTTCCGTGTGCACTGCCAGCCTGAGAATATACTTTTTAAAATGCTGAATATTTTAAAGGAGTGGTGGATTCATCTAGGCATATTGAACATATCTTTAATTATATGAAAATGCCTGTTTTATCTGAAAGCAATCACGGGAGTTGGGCCCAACTAAGTCACCAAATATTGTCACAATAACTAGAAATTTTACTTGTTTTTGTGATATTTAAACCTTAAAAAAATAAGCTGAATTGACAAATATCACAGTTAGCCTATGAAAACTGTATGTATGTTACCTGTCTTTGCCTAATTTTCCTGGCCTGTGTCTAGTGCTTTTACCAGAGAAGTTGTTACACCTAATTAATAGAATTACTAGGCATTTGCAAAATTTAAATATTCATCTTGAATGGGTTTTTATCTTTGAAATTCTTAATCAGCAGCATATTCCTTATAGGAATATTTAGATCACGCTATTTCTTTTTCTCCCATCTAATGAAAAAAAGTACCATTTGAAATGAATATCATAACAAAATGAGTGTTGTATCGTGATATGATACAAGATAAAGACTTCACCAGGTTTTTACTTCTTAAAGATTTTCATGATAATTTGTAACTGGTAATAAGTGTGATTCTTTGCCCTTAAGTAAAATGCAGATTGTAAAAAGTTTAAATTTAATTTTAAGTATAAGATAAAATTTAGCAATGATTTTAAAATAAATTTTTTACATATTAGTGTTTTTCTGTGATAGACTGCTGATTTTATAAAATAAAATATGTGATTTAAGTTAGCAAATTTTTAGAATTCCATAAAAGTAGAATACTTGTGATGCAAGAAGCTACAATTTTAAGTTCATTCTTGTTATATAGTATCGTCACACAGAACATAATAAGAGTGTTTGTGTTTATATTAACAAATTAATAATTTTAACATTTGTTTAGTGAAATAGTCACTTATTCCCTATTCTGTATTTACAAGAAGTGATAACTCATGACCATCTTCCATTCAAAAATCACAATTTCTCTCATACAGCCTAGATCAATAAACATCAAAACAATATTTCCCAGTGTAGGATCAATAGCCTTCTGTTGGCCAGATGACAATGTGGAGAAGAAAAAAAGCACCACTATATCATGGTTACAACTTAGAGTTGACTAGGCTTTAAAATTAACTCCCATAATAAGCATCATTATTTTAGACGTTTTTGAAAATGAGAATTAGGATTAGACAGTTAAATCCTTGGTTCTAGTCACCCACCTCCCTGTAAAAGTTGTGTTTCCCTGGCCTATTCTGAGATTGTGTTATCTAATGTAACTGCTTTCAACCCAGGAAACTGACTTCCCTTGAGAAATTTTTTTTTTTTTATTGTTCAATAGATTTCTGAATGGGAAAGAAAAGTTTTCTTAATCTTAGTTCTATGATTTGTCCTAATTTTCTATTTTTTATTGTTTGTGATTAGTGGCCAGAATGCTAAATAAGGCAGAAGGCTTTTTTGAAAAACATTTAGAGGTTCACACTGTCAGCTTAAAATATGTAGTTCTTGCAAATCGAATGAGTTCAGAAATGTTGATTTGATTTTTTTTATAATATATCGTCCATTTTTATTTATTAAAGAGCTAATCAATACATCTTGAATGAGTTAGTCATTTAGGGTACAATCAAAGATGAATATAAATGTGTCACAAGTTTGTGATTTTGTAAAAGCTCTAGGACTGTCTTTTACTGTTTACATGTTCTGTGGACTCTTTTACCTGAAGCTTGGTTGGGAAAGATTTGAAAAAAGAATTATAGCCGCACATTCAAGTGCTTACAGTTAAGGCTGTGTCAGCGTTTCTGTAAAGAATCTCATTTCTATCTTAGCCATAAGCATTATTGCTGGTTAGAATCTGGTGTTTAATATCTTGATTTGGAAGTCAGTTATTTTAAAGGCACTTTAAAAAATTGATCCAAATGATTTGGAGCATTCACCCATGTGAAGTTACTCTCTAGGTATCCTTATAATATGCTGGATGGTGATTTAACAGATTAATTTTTATCTTATTGACTCGATGACTGAATTAACAGGGAAAATCCTATTGTTTTGACTTGCAAAATGGTCATAATTTAAGTTGAATATGTTTAAATGATTTTAAATAATCTTTTCTTAATTAACATATTTATCATACTGCCGTAAGATTTTCAAATACTATTTCATCTTAAGTATTTTCAATTGTGCCAAATTAAAATGCTCTAGTCAATTATTTTATAAACATTTATTTACTATCTATTTAAATTTTTAACAAAAAATTGATAGTGCTGCTGACGACAACTCCATTTATTTCAAAATCCTGATCAATAAAAAAGAATCTAAAGCAATTCACAGCATAGATTTTCATATTATAGAAATAATTCTAAGATATGATTAACTGAAAATTTCCATTTTATGTTATTTCTAATTTATGAAATCTAGGTTAAAAACTCTCAAACAAATATTTGGTTCATTATACTATAAGATCTGTATATAATAAGGAATTCTACTTACAGAACTACAATTAAAAATGAGTATTGTTATTTAAACTCAAATACTACAGGAAATATTTTTCTTTTTCCTAGTCAGATCATTCAAGAAGTTCAAATAGTTGTCTTTAAAACTGCCACTCTTGTGCTCACT